GTGAAAGACAATGTTCAAGGTGCTTTGTTCCCTGAAGTAGGTTTAGGATAATGGAATTGGTCATGCAGTAGGAGGTGGTGGGCGTGTGATTGTTTGGGCGATATCTTTGACCATTTTCTCTTACTGTAATCTTGTTTGCTTCATTCCAGTTAAGTGTCATGTTGGCTATGGCCCTCTGTCAACGGGTTTTCCTGGGACTACGCAGCTTCCTAGTCGGCTGATATCTTTGGAAAACACGGCTCCAAGACCCACAGCGTCTTGTACAGATAAAGTGTGGGTTTCAGCTTTGCACCATGGAATCAGCCAGCTGGTGTTGCTGTCTACTGAATGCTTTACCCTCCATTTCCCAAATCTGGAGTCATCCATTCTGACCCTAGATCACCAAGGTTGGTAAAGGCAAACGGGTGTGTTTCCTGTTCAGGGGTTTTTGAAGATCAAGCTGCTGATGTTTGTAGTGATTTTTGAGTTTCTGAGATTCAAGTGAAAAAAAAAAAAACTGTGGAGCAAACTCCATATGACAGACTATACTGAAAGATGTTGGGTCCATCCCCCAATCTCGCCTTACTGCTACAATTTCTTCTAAGTAGAACCATCCACCAAGGAATGGTTGCGCAGTTACTCATCCATCTCTGGGGGAAGATCATCAAGGCAAGAACTTCTGGGAACTCCTACTCGTTTTGTGAAGTGGTTTGATGAACCTCATTCCAGGAACACAAATCTGTAGAGGAGTTGAGGCTTATGCTTGTGGTAGAATGGATATTCTTAAACCCAATGGAGAACTCAGCTGCAATAAGGACAAATACATTCTGAGCTTAGCTTACCATTTTGGGCTCAATGTGAGCTCATTTGCTTCCTTTTTCATGGTTTTGTACATATTGATCTCTGCACACGACGGACAATCCATATTGGAAAATAATCCCTTCTACAGTCATTAGTACTGTTTTATGGTTTCAATCTCCAAGTATCAGGAAAGACCTCACTAGGGCAGATTGCGGAGACTGTTTCATCACTCCTTTAGGGGGGATGTGATGGTAAGTTGAGAGGCTAGCCACACTCTGTATGCTCTCCACGGGATTGAGAAATTTTAATAGTATCAGCTACTATTGGGCCCTGTGGCTGGGTCGATTTTTCAACTGCCCTGCTGCCAAGGCAATGTTTTTGCAGAGTATTCCAAAAGACTACATTGGGGATGTTGATATTGTAACCACCCGTGATGTTGTTATAAAACCATAGTGTAAGCCATGTGTCTCATATGGCAGATGCGGATGGTACTTGCATCTCTCATTGGTGCATCATGGCAGAGGATAATTGTGATAGACCTGTCATGGACCTCCAAGCATTCTTGTTCTTGTCTGAGGTTGGTGCGGCGGCCGAGTGTTCGCTATGTGAACCATAACGTGGCATCATGAATATGGATTCAAATTTCCGTAATCTCTTATTTTTAGGTCAAGTTCATATTCTTCCTATTTTACTGTAGCATTAAACCCTTCTTCCATATTTTTTTCTTCCGGTCACCATTTTCTTTTTCCAATATTTTCCCATATTGGAACATACTCCAATATTTTCTTCAGTTCATCACATGGAAATGAAAAAAAAAAATGTTTAGATTTGTGTGCTGTATCGATTATTATCAACCTTTTTTTTTTTTTTTTTTTTTTTTCAAATAACCTAATGTGACTCTATTTTCTTTCTTTCCAATTATCTGTCCCAAAGATGGCCTAACGAGTTACCTTTTCTTCTCTCCCTAAGTAAACTACAGGAATTCCGTGACGCATCTACAACAAATGCATGTGCATGAATTGCCAACAATTACATTTCAATTTTCACTATTGCCACTTAAAGATGGATACATGTCACATGCTTTTACTAAAAACCTTCTGGGCAAAGTGTAAGAATGCTGAAAGATCATATATATAATATATGCATTAAGAAAAAGATAGTTTAAGAATCATACAGCTACATCACCTTGTGCAAATAAAGACGGTACCACTCACCGGTTCATGTTTCAGATTTCTGTCCTTGGACGGGAAGCAGTAGCTACCCTCAACACAATAAGTTATTAATCCTAGCCCAACCACAGATTCCCTGTTGGCATCTGCCATAGCCACCTGAGGGTTTGATTTAGGGGCACGATTGACTAGCACCTGATGTATCTGAATAAAAATAGCATCCCCCAACTACTATTCTTAAACCTTGATAGACATTCACAAATAGAGAGATTAAACACCTGCATACACTAGATCCTAGTCCCGCACTTTTTGAATAAACAGAAACATTCAGATAAATCCAAATTCCATCACGCAGAATTACTGAAACCACAAATGCAGGTTTGCACTGGTGTCATTATGTGACATCATTGTGATGTGATACAAAAGAAATGATAATAATAATTAATCAAGCATTATGCTTACAGTCATCTAGAAGAAAATTTCCACAAGCAAATGCACAAATTCTCGTTAAGCACGTGATAATATATCAAGGGCACAAACAGAAAAAGCATTTATTTATTTTGGTGTGGATGTGGGTGGTGGAGTGTTAAGAAAGGATGCATACCATAACAGTACATAAGATTCCAAAGAAAGGAATATCTTCTTTTTATAAGGAGCTTTAAAAAAAATGCATGAAATATCTTTCTACGCATTTAAGTTCCATATGCTTCCTAATAAGGCCTAAATTTATTATAACTTCTAGAGACAATAGAAGTTTCTGATGGCATCTTTGAGATAATAAATAAAGTTCCCACTCACAAGCAAAATAGAAGTTTCTATTATTCACTTTACATGAATATATATAATCAAAAGACAACGAAAGTACAAAGACAAGAAAGGGATTATAAAATAACCAGTAAATCTGCAAGAAAAACCGAACCTTGTTCCTGGTAGAGTTTTTAGGAGAAGATTTCTATCAGCATGTTCAGGCAGTAGCGCAACATATCACTATTACCAACTCATTTTCTGGATCATCATTTTCTGCAAGCACAAGAAGCTAGGAACTGATGGTTAGTTACTCTCAATTCAATCGTGCAAAAGCCTGGCCAAAAATGCGAATAGAGAGAATACAAACAATGATAAGGATCAAACAACTGATCAGATCACCTGGAATGTCAAAAATTGTTTCACAGTGTACACCCAGCAGCTCCCCCAGATAAATGCGGATTCGAGCACGATCAGTGAGGGAAGTAAATCACCGGTGTCACTATACAACAGGTTTATCATCTGGAACAAAGAAACAGGTTTTATCACCATAAAAAGGATTGCTCACTGATAAATAAAAAGAAAACAAAAATAGAGGAACATCAGAGGAGAGAATAAATGGATGAAACATTAACATAAGATATATATTCACTTGCAAAAGCTATGTGATTATTAGTCACACACGAACTCCACCAACAAAATAATAATAAAGATCAAGAAACAAATACCTTTAAATGACAAAAACGGACAGTTGAAAACTGTTTTAATATCTGTTATACTGCTTCTCGCCACACCATCACCTTCCATGTTTCAGAACTGCAAGTCCATCAACACAAATATGCAAAAATTAACCATCCTGACCTCCACCGGGTTGACAACATTGTCCCGAGCTTTGCACTTCATTCTGTTCCTTAATTTGAACATCAGATTTCCTGAAAAAACTCACAGAATTGAAGTCATTCAAAAGAGGTAGTTTTGATCAACAACCCACCCCCTCCCCAAATAAAAAGGAGGCAGAAAGAAATTTTAAAAGCAATTCCACACCTGATAACAAGTTCCCTGACGAACTCCTTGGTAATCCAATGCTTTATCATATAATATTATCAGATGAGTCATCAACAACTGGGTATCGTAAAGACAGAAAGATTTGAATCTCTTGGTATCATATATTCCTGAAGGAAGTAGTCCATCTCCAACAATGATTATCTTGATGGGAGACAAAACAGGAAAACAGTTCAGTAAGAAAAATGACTCAACTAATTCACTACCACTCATCAAAATTTGGGTTGCAGTTAAGTACATATACATACTTTTACTTGGGCTCTTTCTGATGCAAACTTGTCATCTTCAAACACCCTTTGAAATTCTATTAACCAGACTGCTCTTTCCAGAACCTTTAGACCATTAAAATGAATGATATTGTCTTTGGCACATCATAATCACTCAATTTTTTTTCCCCTGGCATTCTCAATCCATGCTCCAGGGGTATACGTGAATATCAAAGTACACATCAAATCAAGCAAGTATATAAGAAATTTTTAGACATGTTTTACAACATTTCAGCATCAGAACAATTTAAAAATCACTGCTTTAGAAAATTAAAAAAAAAAAAAAAAAGTCTATTATGTAAGTTAATGTCAAAATCTTACAACCCCATATATACTACTTCCATGAGATTATTGGACCTATAGAGACCAACACAGTGACACACAGACCCTCGGGAATCCTGTTGTGAGATCATGCAATTCACATGCTAATTCAAGGCAAATTCAATGCATAAGTCAAGATGCAGTGTTAGTGAAGCCTATAAAAATGGATTACATGCTACCAAAATAGGAGGATGTTTTATAAGGATCCATTAGAACATATGGTTTTTAGTTTAGTTTCTCACCAAGAATCTTTGATATGTAAAAAATTACAAAAACATAGCTGCTTTCCTTGATATTCGTTTCATTAACAACATTACCTTTCACAGAAGGCCTCAAAGCAAACAGAATTACTAAGATATATCCCTTGTGTAACATAGATGGTTTTAATTTAGTTACACAGCGTAAACAATTCCAAGTTGCAGAGCCTCTGTGACGTTGTTAGACTGAAGAAATGTATTTTACTTAAGGCTCTTGAAGCTATCATGATAAAAATGACAGCAGAACTATGTTTTCATTTCTTATCAAATTGAGAGCCCAGCGATGCTATTCAGACCAGTAGAGATCAGTATTATATGTAAGAAAAAAAATAATTAAAAAAATTAAGCAATCATCAATAAAAGGTCCCTTAACACGTGTACCTGAGAAGGTATATCAAGTCCAAACATATAAAAACATGTGCTTTTTAATGCAACACAGAGAGTGCGATGCATGTTTCGCAGAACCAGTGCCCATGTGGAGAAATGAATATTAGTAAATACCTCAAAATTTTGTTCCTAGCCTCTCTCAAACTCCCAAGACGAGTACGCAACTCATCATAACTGAGCAAGACTTGTGTGCAACGTCTCCTCCTCTGGTCCGCTTCAAAGTCCAAGGAAGCTGGAGATAGCTGACCAGTTTCTTGGGGGATTTCTCTAAACACCGCTCCATCCTCATCATTCACCAGTGTTCCTTTACAAAACTTCATGCTTAAAATGAAATGACGTTCAATACTTGGGTGGAAACGAGGGGCCATCAATTGAGTAATAAAATGAAATACATTTACATACCCGAGCAAAGAAGGGGTTGGAGATCGTGACAGTTGAGGGGAATCGTGAGATTCTTCTGAATAGTAAAAAATAACATCACCAATTTATTCAAAACGAAGAGATAGAGAAGGAGAAGGTGTAAGTGTACCAGGAGTGATTGTGATTGTGTCGCCACCCATGCCTATGCCTTGCTTGTCTTAGGTTTTCTTCTGAGCTAAGAGTCTGAAGAACAGAAGAAGATTGATCATAACTACTTTTTGGCTACGCGTACATAACTTCGTGACAAGTGTCTTTCTATTTCATCACCCTTTAAATTTTTTCTTCCGTTGACCGATCCTATTTGCCACATTGTGCCCTTACCAATGTTTAACCTTGGAATTGATTGTGTAATGTTATTAATTTATTAATTTGAAAGTTATCAGTATAAACCAATCCTCAAAAACTTGATTTGATTTCAACCATTTTAACATCCGTGAGATTGTCTTTGATAGCACTCACTTATTTTTCTATAAGAATGACAAGGATTAATTTACCAATAACAGCAAGTCCAATTAATCTATAACGCTTCAACAATACAATGTGATCTGAAAGCCCTGCTTATCCTTCAAAAACAAGGATTTCCAGGATGTCTACAGAAGAAATTCAGGATTGAATGAATAATAATGCCTCCTTCCTTTCTCGCCCTCTAATATAAATTTTATGCATATCATCTTTACATTATACAAATCAAAACTGTGCGCGCAACAAGGGCCACAAAATCCTATGATTCTCTTTTGTATAGAATTTCTGTCTTAACTTAAAGCTCTAAGCTAACAAAAAATGACCCCTAACCATCTCCGAATCCTCAATTAGCACATCCCTTTCTCCAAATTCATTTGGGGATGTTCTTCCAATCTAAACAGGGTTCTCACATGTACAAACGACTAAAAAGCCCTCTTTTAACAGTCCGGAAAGGATGAAAACTCCACTTACAAAGTCCTGAAAGATGCACCAAAAATAACAACTGTATGTCACATTCTGATTCCATCATCTCACTTCCAGGACAAGCATTTTAAACACCAACAGCATGACTGCAACTGAGATTTAACTACTGCAATCAAAAGTAAATGCAGTAATAAACCAATAACCTCAGGACCCTGGCATATACCTTTGTGAAAGGTCTGCTTAGACTTCAGGGTAACAGCCAAATCGGTGATGATAGAAGGGGAAGTAATGTTATCCATTAGAAGGGGACGACATATGGCAGAGCTGTTACACCAGCAGACTCTATGGGCAGAACTTCTGCCCACACTTGTTGTGTCCCATCACCCCTGGGAGAAGCCACTTTTGCCTGCTTTGACTGCACACTATCGCTGCAAAACAGCCATTCATCGTCATCAAAATCAGGCCAATCCTCCAGTTTGGGCACACCTTTGGCCACACTAGAAAGAATCTGATTCAGGTACTTGGAATCAGGGTGTGGTGGTTTGGCAGATGCTTCACAATGCTCACTACCTTGATCAATAGTTGACAAAGGCTTAGTTGAGCACACAATTGGATGTGAAACGTTCCTTAAACCATTAATCTTGTGTTCCTTGGCATTCACTTTATGATTACCAACTGCCCCCTGAAACTCAGATGCAAAGTGGATAGCAGTTTGGCACGGTTCCATTTTCCTCCCATTTTCTGTGACCAGGTGAGAGGACGAGACAGGTCTCGGCAACTTATTAGGCCAAATTCCGTTGTCTGTCACAAAGTTTAAAGAATAAGGTACAAAATAAAAATGAACTGATGCAAAACTAGACACGTACAACCAAAGATTTCATCCCAAAATTTTGCGACAAGGTTCTAAATAAATAGGCCAAAGCAATGAAAGTGAAAGTGATGCAAGAAAGTTTTCACCTTGAACAGGTTTTTCAATATTAAAACATACCACTGATATCCCCATGGCATAGGAGGTTTAAGCACTAGACCATCGAAGAACCGAAATGCAACAGAAAGGACTCACCATGTGAAATTCCATTTATCTCAAGCTCCTTACGTTTGCCAAGACTTCCCTCACCGGGAGGATTGTTGTTGCTAGTCTTTGAAACATCTGGTGGTCTAATATTGCATGAACTCGGGAGGCCCTTGCCATTGTCTTTCAATTTTGGGCTGTCTTTTAATTTAAGCCGGTCTTTACTTGGCTCAACTATCTCCTTCGCTTTCTCCTCCTTTTTCTTTTCCTTATCTCTGCTTTTGTCTTTTGATCTGCTTTTCTTCTTTCGATCTCTATCCTTCTGTTTATCACCCTTACTATCACTTTCTTTGCGCATATTCTTCTCTCTCTCCTCCAACTGCTTCTCAATATCATTCTTCTCCACTGGTTTAGTGATTCCTTGAAATCTCTTTTGATCAGTACCAGAGAATCCTTGAGCAATTGAATTTCCGAAACCTCTAGCCTCAACATGGTTCTTTTGCCCATTGATTTTTTTATCAACTTCTTTCTTATCCTTTGCTTTCTCTTTCTCTTCCAATATGTCAGTACTGCACTCCAGAATCCTTCTTGGCAGTTCTGCTCTTCTTTGATCTGTAACAGTAATCTTCTGAACAATTTGGCTTCCTGTTGCTTTATCTTCATTCCTAATTCTCTTTGCCAAATCCTGCACATATTTAGTATCCTTGATCCCGTTATTCTGGAGGCTGTTCGGACCAATCTTCCCTCCATTGTAGCACTCTGGTTGCCCTTCAATTCTCTTTGCATCTGAGATCCGGTTCTTGTCTTTATCCTTATCCCTGTCCTTCTTGTCTTTGTGCTTCTCCTTTCGGTCTTTCTTATCGCTGTGTTTTTCTTTACTTCTCTCTTTATCTTTGTTCTTTTTTTCTTTACCTCCTTGCTTTTCCTTGTCCTTCTTATCCTTTTTATGTTTTTTCTCCTGGTGTTTTTCCTGAATATAATATTTCAATTAGAGACAAATTAAAATAAGAGTAAAGAATAATATTTTACTAGAAGTAGATGGGGAAATGATGAACAGCTAAACATGGTAAGGTAAAGAGGTATCCAAACAGCAAGGGGCAACTTTCCAGATTGGATGCAAAAACTGATGCACGAATAAAATTATTACCAAGCTGATGAATTGTCCCTGTTAAGTCTTTAATTCATATGTTTTTTATCATAAAAATATGTCAAATATAAAATCTTTCCTCCTCTTTAACGAGTAGACAAATACTTCAAATAAAGAACATAATCATCATAATTTTACAACATTGAAACATATACTTTTGATTCATTCCACATGTAAAGGATTCTTAACAGTGAGGATGCAGGAGTGTATTAATCAACATCAAGAAAAATCACGTCAGCTAGCACCAAAAGTTAATTTTCATAATTCGATCTTCCAGAAGGAACTATACATATAAATATATAACAATTCCACATAAAGAAGGCACCAACCTAAATTATCTGCCAATCTCAAAAACAAAATGCGCTAACTATCTCATCACATATAATGTGGAAAAAAAAAAAAAAAAAAAAAAATTGCAGAAAAGGAATGCTAATACATATATGGATACATATGCAGATCCTTACATGTGGAGGATTTGAACATAAGACCTCTTCTTTGTTTTAAATTACCACCAAATCCAGAAGTTTAAGATTACAAGGAATACTTTTAAGAGTTTCGTTAAGAAAAAATAGGTTGCATGGGAAAATACAACCTATGGGAATTTCCTTCCTGTATATAAATCTAGATTGCAGTTCAGTGCTAATGGCTGACATGTTAACATTGTGAAGAAGGATAAGTGAAGAAAGTGCATTTATAAATCATGCAAGGAAAACACCATTTTTGTGATACAAGATGCTAATGCATGAAACCAAGAAGGAAAAAATCTCGTGTTCTCATATTTTAAAAGCAGGTAATGTGGCTCATGTATAAAAGTTACTTTAACAGCATATTTCTCAGTACTTGATAGTTGATATTAACATATGACATTTTTTACAGCATAATTAATCAATTAATATGGGCACTTCCAAAATGGTAACACTTCACTATCATAGGTCTTAAGCCATATCCCCAGTTCTTAGAGACCACTAGAAACCTCCTACCCTCCCTGAAAGTCCACAAGAAGTTCAGGAACATTGCTACACAAAACATGTCAATCAAAAAACCCATCACTTCTATCTTTTTGCAGGTTGAGATCACTTGTATTTTGGCATTTGGATGCCATTTGCATTAGAATCCGTGAATTAACAGATGCAATATTTTATTCCTACCAGTGGAACTAGATAAAGCTCTATGACAACACCAAGGCATACCAAAGATACGGCTATCATCTGTTCAAATCTCTTAAGATACTATACAACAATTATTCTTACTTCATAAACTAGAAAGACATGGAAATGTGATTACTCCACGAAGATGTTTACTATTCTCTGAAGATGTAATTTTGAAAGCATGTTCACAACATAAAATCAGCAGAAAGCATATATAACTACTACAGAACCAAAGCAAGAGTAGAATTTGGATTTCCAGAGTAGATACGAGTTAAAGTTAGAAATGATTGCTCAATCAGGGCAGGTCAACAGTCAACAAGCATGGCAACACCATGATAGAGATCAATAGTTTGCTTTAACAGATAGTAAGACACATGGCGCTAGATTTTGGAATAACTTTCTTTAATATGAAAAATTTTGATTGCCAAAACGAGAAAAAGATTTCAGAACACAGTAAAATGAAGCATACGACTCAGCATTTAAAATAAACTAGAATGAGGCATAAGACAAAGCATTTGAAGTATTCAAAATACACTTTCAAATTTCCACTAATATTCTTCCTTTAAAAATTGAATCTCTTAAAATATGTACTTTATTTAAAATTAAAAACTACAGGTAAAGGAACCAAAATGCCACTAATGTGCAAAAAGTAAAATAGGAAGAGAGAGAAGAAGTCTCTGCAGATAAGAAAGATCAAATATTCCTGATCCAATTCCATTTAAGCTTGAGTTTCTATGCTAGTATACTATAAAAAATACTAGCATAAACAGTGAAAAGTTCAAGTAGTTACAAGTAGAGGATGGTGAAAAATTATTTATGCTAGATTCAACAATGCTTACCAGAAGGATACATTAGTTCACATAAAGATGGTGATGCTATATTAGAAATAATAAATTTCTCAATCTAGTTTCATTACCTTAATAATTATTGTATCCTCAATTTCCTCAAACTCCCTTTTCTTCAAACACTAAACCATAGATAGTACAAGATATTAGGAGTAAAATATTATCCATTTTTGGCAATTTTTTACCTACCAAACAGGGTTTGCCCAAAGTACAAGATGTGAACCACTTCTAATCTAGAACACTAGAACAAGTAAACAATTTCAATACATCATATTCTACATTTTCAGCACGTTCAATACCAGGCATACCAGATTATACCATAAAAGAAAACCTTGTCAATCTTATGCCCAAGAAGATACTCATACTTATATAACCAAACTTCACATCCATTTAAAATGGTCACATAAAAAGCCCCCCCATCCCTATTCAACAAACACATCAAGCAATACAAAGCCCCAGCAATTAAAGGAGCCTTTCACCTTTAAGTCATCACATATTAATCGAAAAGGCAGCTTCTGTAAAAGGAATAGGTGTCAACATAAAGTTACTACCAGTTTAAGACAAACCAAGCATTTTAATTTTCAGCACCAAAAACATCTGAAAATATATGGAAAGCAAACTATTATTTGACAACCATGGCCATATTTATTATAACATCATTATCAAAGTCTATCCTTGTAATAAAATTTGTAAGGAAAATATATAAATGGGTTATAACATCATTATCAAAGTGTATCCTTGTAACAAATTTTATAAGGAAAATATATAAATGGGTAATTTCAAGATCTAGCTAATATTAATTGTTACAACATTATGAAACCGTTAGCAGTTGAGCTGTGCACAATATTGAAGAGTAGACAATAAAAAAGCACCCCACTGAGCATAGGTTAAAAAATTAAACTAAAAACTTTATCTAATTCAAATCAGAATGCATATTTTATTTGTTTTAAATACTCTATAGTAGGGCTACTGTGCCACATTAAACATTCTGCTTACTTCTCTAAAAATTTCCGAAGCTAAAACAATGCCCAGTAGGAACAGTTGTTCTACTTTACAATCTTACACAGATACAAGTCTCCATGTGGCTGCAGTTTTGTTCAGCTGACAAATTTATAAAACAGCGACTCCACTAAAATCCTAAAGGTCCATGTAAGGGTACATGTGATATGAAGCGGCCAACCAAAAGTAAAACATATTGAGATTTGACACGTTCTCTTTCTTCCTTCAATGGACATGCAAACACGGTGTGTCTACACAACACATATCCCAGAACGTGTCCATGCCCGAGAAAGCACTTCATGCATATGCAAATGTTAGTATAAACAGTTACAAGTAAATAGCATACTATGGCCCATCCCCGGCTAGAGATATAAAAGATTCAGCCCCCTGTAATCTAAAAGACTGTCAGATGGTTAAATTGTAGGCAACTTCTTTCTACTTCTAATAGTATCTCATCACATTGCCCAAATTTTATTAAGCTCATCAAGAATTTACTAATAAAAATATATTGTAAGTGGAGTGTGCCTTAGAACTTAACATAGCCTTATAAGTCAGTCCATGTTCTAGCTTCGAAAAGCAATCTTTCCCCTATATTATTTTCCAAATTATTGTCCCCTATATAATATGTTCAGTATTTTTAAACCTTACTATGACCATCCCTCATGCGTGGCCCAAATAAACCATCTTCTAGCTTGCAAAAGAGTTGCTCATTGTTTCCAAAAACCATGTCTAAACTTACTTATCTACACTTTTCTTTTCCTTTTTTATCTGGGGTCAAATGAGCCTTGATTGTGAACTATATATCCAAGACCAACTTCCAGAAGTTATATGATACAAAATTAATTTGATCCAATAAAAAAAAAAAAAGTAGATACACCAGATAAGGAAAGCAATATCCAAAGAAAACGAGCAGGACTCATGCTAACAATGGAAGGTAAATAAAAATATGGCATATAAACCTTTGCTAGCAAGTCTGTATCTTCAACTCTAGCACTCTTTTCATATCCAGGAGGCGGGAATGGAAAGCAGCGAGACATTGCACGTGATCCTTAAAACAGCAAAGCTGAATCCTTCTACCAACTGAAAAGTTTCTCCTAGTTTTCTATACCTTTGTTCCAACACAGGAACAGACCAGAAACTATGCCCCTGTCCATGCACCATGTCCTCGCAATCATTTCCAGCTTGAAAATCACTTCATGATCATCCAAAATCACCTCCAAGACAAAATAATCCTGATACCCAATAATTAAAATATCTTCTTATTTACAATCAAATCCTAAGAATTGCAAAATTATGTCAAAAAAGTTGCATGGAACTAAGAGTACCCACAAGGCTAGAATGCTCAACTCTCCTATTGTAAACACTGAACTAACTTCAATGAAGCCAAATAATCAAAGTTTCAACCGTAATGATTTGTCGACAAATGCAGAAGTTCCAATAAAATCTGATCCTTCCCGTGATTACTACGAGGCCAAAAGGGATAACATCACCTGCTAATCAGCAAAAACCAACCAATATAAGGAAAAATTCCCAGACTGTGAAGATCAAAAACTCAAGAGCACAAATTCAAAATACACCACAATCTTAACCTTTTGATGAAGAAATCTTCACTTCCTTATCACCATCTAGTATCTATGTCAAGGTTCCACTCCGTCGGTGTTCAAAAGCAATTCTCAAAATCTCTTTTTGCAGGTTAAAGTTCAGCCTCTAGACCGCAGTTCTGAAAATGCCCTCTGCAGATTCAATGAGAAGACTTTAATCCCAATAACTTAACTTACCTAAACTAATCTAAATAAAAGCTATACAATCCAATCCTCAGTTTCTATATACACCGTGTATTCTTCTGCTTATGATTGTAACCGAATAGTATAAAAACCACAATTAGGGTTGATTCTAGTACGATCTCACCAAACCCTAGATAAATCAAGCAAAAAAAATATGTCAACAAATTTCTCCACTGATTAAAAACCCTAATTTCAATTCTTCAAAACCAAAAAGTGCTTATATAACTAAATAATTGTTTGACAATAAAACTAATAATTAAACCCATATTAAAAAAAAAAAAAAAAAAAAAGCACCATTAATAGAAATAAATAAGAAAAGTTGTCATCAAATTAAGTTAAAACATAGAAAGATAAATTATGGGTTTTGAAAATTTTGTATAAGTATGACAGAACGTAGACAGTTTTGACAAAAATAAAAATTTGAAAAATCTTAATTGAAAGAGAAGAAGAAAATTATAGTATAAATGGAAGTGTCTGGGTTTCTCTTGGCGTGTCAATACCTCTTCTCTTATGTATAAAAAAGAAAAAAAAAAAAACAATTGTTTGTGTTGGTGAGTGGTATTATTTTGGATCTCTTGTTCAATGAATCGAAGTTAGAAATAGAAATAGGAATGGGTTTTGTTTGTTGTTGTTGAGAAAGGCTGGGGGGCTGGTTTCTCAATAACAAAAACCCCTTATCAAAGGGAAGAGAAAAAATAAAAGAGATTGGGAAAGGGTATTTATAAGAGGGTAAGAGGTGAGTGAGAGAAACGTGTCAAAAAGAAGGATCCAGACACAAGGGAATGCGAATGTTAACGTGAACAAAACATAATATGGATAGGAATAGAATGGTCCGCTTTTTAACTGCCCTTTCCCTAAACACAAAAACACACAGTCACACTTCTTCTCCGTTCCTTCTACAACGAGTTTTCATTGTTCATACCGTAACATGACATTCTTCTGACTTGATTGTCATGAGTTACTGAGATCGACACTTCCTAAGCACTAATAGAGTTATCAATGAAACTCTTTATTTGGTTGATAGTTTTAGGCCATTAATTGAAGTATGCATAGTTTTAGGGTATTAATCGAAGTACACACAAACTAATGACTTGTTGATGCTTAATTTTGATATCAACTATTCGCACGTGTAAAATGCTAAAATGACTTAGAAGTTACACGTGATATGAGGGGATTGAATCAAGTAAAAGGTGAAGAGCAATATTTAAAGTGGTTCGGATGCTCGCAAGCGAATCCTACGTCTATTACTATTGTATTAATAAAAAAGAGTGATCAGGTCGCGTTCAGCGAGCTGAGTTACAGTTTAGGGAGAGAGAGAGCTATTTTAGCGTAAAATTAGCTAATCCCCACAAATGAGGGGGGAATCCTCTATTTATAGTGGGAAAGTTCAAGGTAATGATTATAAAAGCTGCAAGTGGGTAGGTGTCGTGCAAATCCTTTATTTGCGTCCCATTGATCACCTGCCCAAGGGATTTTCTCGATTTAAAGAAGGGCTTTGACACGTGGGCGATTTCCAGCCGCTTGCTGGCCTGACACTCACCTGCTACACTGACAGGAGTCATGCCACTTGCGCTAGGCGCAACGTGGTTGCACCTGGACGGCTTAGAACCCTTCTGAACTTTGACCATCCTTTACTGACGAGGCTCCATGTCAGCCCTATTTTTTCCGGCATAATAGAAATCCCCCATTTTTTAAAGTTTAAGGATCGAACTTTGAGAACTTCATAATTATGCCATGATTTGACATATTCAAATGACGTCTGGTCGAGCCAACCTGGATTAGATCCTACCATATCGATGTACCTCTTATCTTAATCGAGGTCCGCGACCTGATTACACTTGGCATATTTCTGCTGGAGGCAAGGAATCACATCGCTTTGCAACCGATATGCGACGAAGAGTGTTCTTTTCCAATGACCTCTTCAGATGTCATCCGTTGCCCTTGACAACTAATCCATTAATGAAGTACCATTTATTCTGACAAACGTGTCATGTACGAAATAAGTGTCAGCCATGTGCATTAAATGCAAGCCATGCTGAAACGTCATTCCTTATTAAGGCATTAAATGCGGATGAGATTGCATTTAATGTGGAGGAGAGAATCGAGCCATTGCTCAATTATTTCAACGGAGAGACGCAACGATTGAATTTCTCGAAGCGTGACGGTTACTCTTTCTTGCTGATTGACGACACTCGGTCGCGATCAATGACGAGAGACATATTCCGCCCAAACGTCGCTTGGCTTCGGGAAGACCAATCGTCGTTTTCCTCCATTATAAAACCCTAGGCTCGCCTTAAGCAATGTAACAACATTCATACTTTCAGAAAAAGCAAAAAGCTCTCACGAGACCAGATTTTCAATCCTTCAAGTTGGTGCGCTCTTTCCACTAACAATAAGAAGTTCGACCCCCACAGCTAAAAAGGTAAGGAAGATCCTTTCATTGCTTTCCTTTTTCTGTTTAGAGGATAACTTAACCAGGCGATAATGGTAGGTGTTTATGGCTAGGCTTCTGTAAGGAATAGGTTTTCATGGTACGAACCATTGGGGGTGGTCTCTAAGGGTTTTTTTAAGGATTTTTTGGAAGATACATTAGGGTTTTGTTCTTCCACGTTGTTGTACAAAATTCTGTACGGAGACTAAGTAATTTATACGTGTCCCCCCTTTTTCAGACCGTAGAAGAGATGGACCCTACAGCGACCAAAACAAATGAGGGGACGAGCTCGCATGCGCAGGACGCCCCAGTGGATCCTGCGCAAGAGATTCTATCAGTGGTTACCCGAGATGAAGTACAAAAGGCAGTAGACCAATACGCACTTAGCGTAGACATCTACCAGTACAGGTCGCGTACAGCTCGAAATCTGCCAAAGGGAATGGCTGTGATCTTTGAAGCTACATTCAAATGCGGAGCACTAATTCCTTTCCATCCCTTTATTAGGTTGATCCTCGATCAGTTCGGGTTCGCACCTTTACAGTTGACACCTAACGCATATATGATAGCGGTGACTATGTATATCGCGTGCGCCGAGTACGACCTTGGCCAGCTGACTGCGTTGGATCTCGTTTGCTTGTACTATTTAAAAAAGAGCAAGGACAAAGATTCTTAATACCTCTTGAAGCGATCCACGATTGAGGGAGGCATTTTTAATTACCCTAGTAATGTCGGGGCATACGAGACCAAGTTTTTTTTTTTCCATTATGATGACATTTGCCATTTTAGAGAGCCGAGTAGGTCTTCCCTTTTTGTACTTAGCGAATTTTTTCTTTTCTTTTTGGGATTTACTTTGGCGGGTCGCTGCATCGTGCTCATGACACTTATGGGGTCATGACAGGCTTCTTAAGCATATCTTTCTTGGGCACTTCTAGAGTTCTCCACGGGGTGTGGTCCTCCAAAGATGATCCCCACACTGTAGAGACTTTTGCGACCACGACGCCTCTTTCCTGGTTCCTCTTGATTTTTCTCCTAAACGAGAGCTGAGTCATTAACATACTCTTTGAAGTGCCCCTATTTAATGAGGTCCTCAATTGCTTGCTTGAGGGCCCGAAACTCATCGGTGTGGTGCCCATTATCCCGATGATAACAATAGTACTTTTTATTGTTTTTGGCTGAGAGTTAATTCTTTGTGGGCTCGGGCTCTCCGAGTAAATTGACCTCCTCTGATTTATCCAGAATAATCGATACCGAGGCATTTAGAAGAGTGTATTGACTCTTATTGCAATCGCGACGATGAACTGGGGCATAAGATTTATTAGGCTCGTACTGCTGCTTATTTTCTTTTCGCTGATCATCATTAGCTCATTTGCAATCAACCCTCTTATTCTCCCCCCGGTTGGGAGCACTGCTCGACGGACCGGGGTCATGGCGACTAAAAGCTGCCACGGAACTTTCGATTCGGAGGTACTTTTCAATAAGGTTATAGAAACGAGTGAGGGAAACATCATCCTTAGATTGCAGTTCCTTCCATAAGTCGGTCTGTGGGCGAACTCCCATAACGATGAGAATCTGAACAAACTCTCCGGAGTATGAGCCACTTTGTGGAGCTCCTTGTGGAACTTGTCTATATAAGATTGCAGGGGGTCATCCCTCTCTTGTCGTATATTGCTCAGGTAGCTTAGCAGCATTGAGAACTTCCTGTTCGCTTGGAAGTGTCTCAGAAATGTCGAGCTCATTTGAGGCCATGAGCTGACTGATCCTGCTGGAAGCAACCTAAACCATCGCTTAGCATGGGCAGTAAGGGTTACTACCAAGCAATGACATTTTGCCAAGTCAAAGACTTGGTGGAGTTCCATGAGGTCGTTGAACTCGTATAAATGATCCTACGGATCGGAATTCCCATTGAATACTCGCATGTCGGGCATTCTAAATCTCAATGGGAGAGGGGCAGCTAACATTGCCGGAAAAAAGGGAGACACCTTTGCAACCTGCCCTTGCTCATTCTGCTGAGCCTTAAGCTAATCTAGAGCTCACTGTAGTTCCTCGATCTGAGGCAGCGGAGCTACCTAGGGATCACTTTCCTCAACGTGGGTTCGCCCCCCACGGTTGCAGTTAAGGAAAGACCTCAAATCGGACTTTTCCTCACCTTGGCCGGAAGCTCTAGCCAATCTCAGCACACGCTGGCCAGAGCTTTGTGATTGCATCGAGTGATTCAGGCAGTCTTTCCGACCCCTGCGATGGTACGAACCGACCTGCTGACGATGGGAATCCCTTGCACAATGACAATCAAAGTCGTCATTTTGATGATATTGGGAATCTCCCCACCTTGCACTTTTGTGGGAGTGCTCGTGCGATGTGGCACGGGACGGTTCATGCTACGACATGTCGTCGAGTCGCAATGCCATGGGTATTCTACTCAGGACGCGATCGGTGTTCGCTAGTCCCTTGGAGCCTTTAGGTCCGCTATGCGCCACTTGCTTTCCTTTTCTCTGACGTGCTGTAGTGCGGGCGGTATGGGCGTTTTCCCTTTTTCACTCGACCTGCAGACATTTTTGGCTGTGGCACCGCCTCATTGGATTCAGGTGACATGACCCAATCCAATCGGTCTAGCCTTTGGTGGACCGTTTGAAGAGTGTTATTGAACCTCTCCAAGTAACTCATGACGGTTGGGTCAAGCCACGAACTTGAAGGAATATCCCCCGAGATATTCTGCTAGACTGGCAACATTTCTGGAGAAGTGTCCTTCTAGATCTGGGGGATTTCTTCATTGCCACGATTGGTTCGCTCAGATTCGGAACCGCGAGCCATTTT